CCTTCAATTTCTAATCTGATCAAAATCTCATAATATCAAAATGTGACGAAATGGGACCACACAGTTCAGTTGTGAGGTTTTTGAGAGCTCTTCCCGTCTTATTTTCCCCTAACTAACAAAACTGATTAACACCTGAAAATTAAAGAAAAAAAATGGCCCGACCATGAGAATCATTACATCTTGTTACCAAGGCAACCTTGTTCAATCTATGAGGGATACATTAACAAATCCAACTTGGAGACATTCGGTTAAAAAATCTTTCTTTGTTCACATTCAGATAGAAGGCCCTCCGCTTACATTTGTACAGACATCGCTTTGTAATTAACAATTATTCACCGAAGACGAGGTGAATATCGTCGAATAATCCCCGAGACGAAGTCCAGGGGATTATTCGACAATATTCACCGAACCTGAGGCGAATAATTGTTTTAGTATAATTTCATAGCTGAACAACAGAGAATTTTCTAAAAAAAATAACATTTTGGTAACATTTATTAACATTTTATTTTAACATTTTATATAAACCGCGTGGAGCGGTTTAAATAGCGTCATATAAGGAACCGCTCGACCAATCAGATTGCTGGAAACTCTTTGCTCAGCTATGAAATTAAACTAATGAAAGGTATAATGAGTTATTAGAAACAGATACACCTTTCCAGCAATGTAAATCACCATATCCCTAATCCACTGCTGTAATAGCATTTTTTCTCTCTCTTTATTTTTTATTTGGAAAAGAAGGACCTCCCCAAGTGAAGTTGAAATGCTACTCACCCCCTTCTCCCCCTCCCCTCGATCATAGTGGTCCTCATCCCCCCTCACTACTGTTAAATCACCGATATATTTTCCCCATCTTTTTATTACTTTTCCAGCCGTAGTTTATCATGTGACCCCCCTGAAAGCGTGAAACTTAAAAAAAGGAAAATCAAAGAAAAACCAAAGCATGTCACTTTTGCAACGTTAACTCTAATCTAAGCTACCTTTCTAAAAGAACTCTCGACGTTCTCTCGATCTGTTGATTTCGACTTTATTTTTTGTGAAAGCTCTTTCTTCTATGCATCATCTTCTATGATGGAGACTTTGATAAACCGGATCCCAACCTTTTCATTCATGTCACTTTTGTACACCTCCAGAGTGAGTCCCTTACTAGGCATCAGTCGGTTGTTGTACTCAGCGGTCCTCACGAAGCCTCCGTCATGCGCAGTGTAGCATGATCCCCAGCGTTCATCCAACTTGAGGGTAATGACAAATTGGCCGGGATAGAAAGAGTCGGAGGGTTTCGGTGTAACGGATTCGCGACGAATAGACTGTAAGGTGGGACCAGAAGCACCTTCTATTCCGTAGCA